GTAGCCATACTTGAATGTGAAATGTTTGTCTGAGAAGGAAATACAGATGTGTAAATATTTGTATTTTTTTCTGATAGTTAAGCAGCGCTGAAAGCACTGAGTGGTTACAAATATACATCAAAGATCGTCTGGGAATGTAGTCTCTCGCTTCGGCAACTGTGCCAACGGAACTCAGTAAACTTATATTGGGTACCAGGTCACTGTGGCATTGAAGGGAATGAAAGGGCAGACGACCTAGCAAAGTTAGGTTCCAATTCACAGTTTTTTTTACCCAGAACCATGCTGTGGAATATCATACTGTACGGTAAAAATGGAACTCAAATCCTGGGAAGAGCAAAAGGTGATGGCCAATTGGATGACTGTCACAAACTGTAACCAGTCGAAAAGATTTATAGGGTAAACGCTCCTATAGTTGCGGTACGTTAGAAGCGTTAGGTTCCTATAGTTGTGTATTGAGTCTCCATACACAACTATAGGAACCTAACGCTTCTAACGTACCGCTACTATAGGAGCGTTTACCCTAACTCCTAATATAACATACACCTAAAAGCTCTTAGAGCTCAATAAAAGAGCTCTTAGTATATACACTGGCATAGTAACTGGGCACTGTCCTAGTAGATATCACATGAAGAACATTGGTCGGATTCAGAGTGATATCTGTCGTTTCTGTAATTTGGAACGTGAAACCTCGGAACATTTCCTCTGCAGTTGTGGTGCATTACACAAGCGTAGATCTAAATTTTTTGGAAGTACAAGCTTCTTCTTCTTTCCTTTATTTAACGTCGGTCTCTGTTCCGCAATCTAGTGCCAATCACCGATGGACATCGATTGCCATCCATTGACGGCAATCGAATGTGCAGGAAGGCAGCTTCCACACCTGCGTATAATAATCATATATATCGCACCCATTCAAACACACATGGGCCGTTGGTCCCGGCTTTACTTCGCTTGACCAGCGATTGTTATGCCTCAGAAAAATCCCACCGACCTCGGCTGGGATTGACCCCAGACCCATCTAGGTGAGAAAGCAGTCACGCTTACCAGGCACGTAGCCATGGGGGGGGGGGCTATGGGGCTGAAGCCCCCCCCCAAATAATTGTAATCATGTGAAAAAAAAAATCTGTACTGTACAGGTAATAGATATGCATTACCTGGGTAAGGTGTTTTTTATTTTTCATATTAAAATAATTTATGGACGAGGCTTCAGGCCTATAGCCACCTCTGGCAATGAGACTTGGGCTGTACCTATATAGTGTGCATGAACAATTTATGTTTGCAGCGATTCTGTTAAAGATCATGGGACCATCGAGTTTTTATGAAAGATCAGCCTCGTTTCACTTCCGTAGGAACTAGGATGTAGACCCAATTTGTAGCCTTCTAAACACAATCCGCACTGTACCCCTTTTTTTTAAGCAGGATTTCATACAAAATAGAATGTTTCTACAACAAATGACTTCTTAATTTATTTACCTTTCCATATGTACCATTGGATTTAATAAAGAGACACACATTGTTTCTATTTAGATTTTAACTCTTTAATTGTTCAAAATTCAAAATAAATTACTTTTCGTTTTAACTAAGGTGCTCAAGCCACCTAGTAACTTATCTGCTGTAATTTTTATGATATAAATCTAAGTGATTTTACATTGTTCCTGCCTTAGAAATTCAGTATTTTAAACAGGTCTTCTAAACCTGCATGTCAGTATAACAATTCACATCAAAACTAAAAACTAAAACTATATCTTATCTATGTATAAAGGTAATTAATCGTTGCAATTGAAGATTGCAACGATTTTTCCCTAAAATTATTAATTATTTTGTTGGACATTTCTAGATAGAGCTGGAATTAGGGCATAACAGCTTTAGTAAACAATGGCTTCTCTCGATGATTTTTCGAAAGACATGGCTCCTCCTGGCAAATCAACATTACCATCGAATAGAGGAAGAGTTCCCCTACCCGATGGATAAGTTTATTTGTGTAGGGGTGCCTTGAGTTGCTAGAAATTGACGAGAGAATTCATTGTTTACAAAAGCTGTTACGCCCTAATTCCAGCTCTATCTAGATTTTTTCTAAAGTCTCAACATTCGAAATTATATGTACTTCGGTAGTACTGTACCAGTAGTACCTGTAGTACTGCATCCACGTGCATCCAAGCTAACAATACGTGCAAATCAACCAGTAGAAACACGAGAGGACTACTACCGAAGAGCAGTTTTCATTCCATGACTCGATGGATTGATCCAAAACATGATGGGACGTTTCACAAAAAATGATGACATCCTTCCGGTGTTTCAAATATTGTTGCCTGGTTTTACAGATATTGGAGAGTCATCCCAACTTGACAAACTTAACTGTTATCTCTGTGATTTCACCAGCGTGGTTGCCAGAGTTGCGACCTATCACAATCACGATCGCCAAACAGTTGATGGTAGTAACACTTTGTCCATTCCTATCAATGTGCTCGTCGAAACTCTCTCCATGAGCATCCATCAAGTTGACGCAGAAGTAAAAAGCAACTGGTGAATGTCGTCTTCTGTTGTGATCCATCACCGATCTGGTCATTCCCGACAATCACGACACTCATCTGTGCTCGTTTTGAAGCAGTTGCTGCTTTGCTTGCTTGTTTGAGTATGTTGGTGAGTGAGCCCAACAGCTTCCGTTTCATGTTGCCTGCTTTGTTTGTAACTCACACAGTCGCACCTGCCGAGACGAACTTGGAATGCGAAGGCATTGTTTTCATTTTCTTCTGTCGCTTCGCTTTTTGTCATCATCGTACTGCAGAATTCTTCACTGTTTTCGTTGTGCTTTTCATGATCAGCAGCGAGTGTAACGTTTTGCTTGTGAGCAGCGACCATTACTGGTGATTGCTGTTTGCCATGGCTCTAACTCAAAACGATCTGTCAGCGAAGTCGGTTGGTGCGAAGACGAGTGTCACGTGAGTGTCATGATGTTTTGCATGACTGGCTGGTTGCAGGTAAAGGTGGAATACGAGCTCTGGTGCCGGACATCCATAAATATTAACAAGAATTTTGAGGCATTTGGGCTGCTTGGTAAATGTGACTCGACGTATTTTCCAACAATCAATGTTTTGTTGAAGATTTTGGTGACACTCCCGGTCACTACAGCCAGTGTGGAAAGATCTTTCTCCATTTTGAAACGAATTATAACTAATGGGAAACCAGCGACTTTCGGGCTTGGCTATAATATCAATTAACTGCTTAGAGTAAAGCTAGAAGATTACTTTTGTAATAACCAGGTATAATGTGCAGGATATGGCTCTACGTTGTGTTTAATTTGTTGCTCAGATTTTTGGACAGCAGTTTGGAGATCGGCAACTGATTCAAATGAAGTAAATGAATACATTTCTCATTCACTATTTATTACCTCCTTTAGGCAGCACCCTTATCGGAAGTCAAATTCAAACTTAATCTAATTGCATTAAATATTTGCACTTATATAGCTAACTGGAGCAATACAAAATATCACAGAATAACGATCAATTCAAAAACAAAACAAAAATACAGTGATGCTAAAACAAAAACTTAAAAACATACAGAATGATGAAGGCAACAATATTCGCTGTTCGTGTTTCGTGTTCGTGTGGATCACATTGCTACCACTGCATCAGGGATGTTTGTTTTTACCGCCTTCATAAATTTTAATGAATTAGGATCCGGTGCCGGTGATTTTACGATTCAACACCATTCAAATCTTAAAATAATTATGTTTTAAAAATATGTAACATATTTTTGTATTTCTTAACAGAATGCAAATCTTGATCATCATTAACAACAGAAAACAAATAAAACTACAAATATTTTCTTGAACTTCATACATTTGTTTAACTTTTCTCATAACTGCGTATTAAAGAGTTTGAAAAATTATTATTTTACATTCTGATGGTTCATTAAAAATTCCGATCAAAGATTAAAACAAATTAACAAAAAAAAAAAAAAATGATTACACATGATTTTGAACGATTTTGGTTAAGGTAAAAAAAAATCAGTGTATCATTCGATGTTCAGTTATGCGCACATTTTATAAATCATTGAAGTTTTATGTCATAAAATTTAAATTAGCTCCCCCCGAAACCAAATGCTGACTACGGGCCTGACGCTTACAACTACACCACCGGCGCCGGCGAATATTAGCTTACAACCTAGTGAAATTTGGTCTGCAAATCCTGGAAAGGTAGTTGGTTTTATAAACCATATTTATCATACCGGACTGGGAAAAGATGTGTCCGGGAAATTAGCCGTCCACTCGTTAAATACAAACAGCAAATAGGGGTACCACAAAAGTTCAAATAATGGACACAGTGGTGGTACTCCCCCCCAAAAAAAAAATGTACTGCTTGAAATAGAACAATGTTTCGTCAACTGTGTGCAAAGTTATTAGCAAATGAGTAGTTCGTGACCAAAACTGTGTATGCCATGCATGGGACCGAATAATTTATACGTTGCAGTTAAATAGGACCTAAATCGATCGTCAGGTTTTCCACGACGTAGCACCAATGGTGCAAGGTGCCTAGGCCTTTAGATCCATCACTGCATTGGAATTCAAATATCCATCCACTCGTGTCATCCTTTCAGGTTCCAAAACTTTTACGGATTCAGTTACTAATGACGCATCATTGGGTATTCACGTAAATAGTAGCTCACAACAAGTTCAGTGAAACTACTCTCAAGTGTTTATCGACTATATTCAATATTTAACTATTATGCATTTGAAAATTGTTCATGCTCTGTACTCAACTCTGCATGGCAATTTCACTGTTTACGGAACGAGAGCGTGTGGACGGCATCTATTGATAAAATACTACCTTCTTTGCTGGGAAACCACGCTAGAAAAGCAACGGTATTCCCTTTATTTACTCCGCATGCACCGGTTGATATCAGTCACGGAAGCTTATTGGCAATGCCTGTGATTCAGTTTACACTTTGCAATAAATACCATTTAGCAACAGAAATAACCAGATGACTTCAATTCTCGTTTTCAGTTCCCACACTGTTCGATTTCATCAGTCAAATCCAAATATCAAACGTTTCCAATCTACTAGTCAACGATACGCTCCTCCCGGACTGGGATAATCGAGCCAGTATAGAATTCAACCCAGGTGCAAATGAATCTCTATCACCAGTGGTGTGCGTCCTTACAACGTCGATGGATGATCTTCCACCGGATTTGTTCTCGAGTAAGCAATTGGTTGTGGGTTTTTGGTCGGAGCGAAAAATGAATAAAGTTAATCTCTTTGCGAAAGTTTAGAAACCGAACGACTCCAAGGTGCAATCATCTTCCATTTCATCGCAGCTATCTATTTCTTCACAATATTAGCATATGTCTGTAGTGAGTATTTTTTGCCTTCGGTGGAGTACATTTGCGCAGATCTAAATCTATCCGAGGTATGCAAAGGTTCGGTAATTTTTATTCGTTGATCATCTTCAGGATTGTTTTTCTGCACTTCTAGGATGTAGCAGCCGCAACTTTTATGGCCACGGCCACTTCCATGCCTGAATTTTTCACCAATACCATCAGCACTCTGGTGGTCGATTCTGACATGGGCTTAGGAACCATCTTGGGGTCCATGCTGTTCAACACCTTGGGCGTCGCTGCTTTGGTCGGGTTGCTAACCAAATCGGTAAGTGTTGAGCGAATTGGAGTTCAATGAGTCTACTTAATCCATAATAATTCCTTGACAGCACGTTAAACTAGACTGGTGGCCTTTGACTCGAGACTCCGTAATTGTCATCATCAGTACCAGCTCGCTGGTTTCTTGCCTTTGGGATGAACGTGTCTATTGGTACGAATCGCTAGTCTTCGTCGTACTCTACGTTCTGTACTTTTTTGTGATGTTCCAAAACGATCGCATGAAGCGTCTCGCTGTATCCTTAATCGAAGATCGATGGAATCTTTGTCGAAGACTGGAGAAAAAATCTTCCGATGAACCAATATCTGAACACAAACATCATCGAAAATACTCGATAGCCGTACTGGGAGAGGCCATCAATACAACTCTTCAAATTCCTACCAGTGATAAGCAAGTTCCTCGAGTCTCTTGCGACTCAAGTGCCGAATCGGACCATTCGGATAACAGCAGAATGCAGCTACTGAAGATCTCTGAAAAATCATGGTTTGGGATATGTTGGTGGTTGTACACGTGGCCTTTCCGGGTGGTCATCAGATGGACGATTCCTGATCCACGAGTGCACCGTAAACTGTATCCGTTGACGTTTTTAATGTGCATTGTCTGGATCGGCGGAACAGCGTATATGGTATTCTGGATGATGTCCATCATCGGTAGTACGTTTGATGTTCCGGAAACGGTAATGGGACTGACTTTCCTGGCCTTCGGAGGATGTATGCCAGAAGCAGTGTCTGCAGTTACGGTCATCAGAAAAGGTAATTGTGTACTCCCTCTCGAGCATCTAGATTCAGAACTAACTGCGATGTCTATTCAACAGGAAATGGTTCCATGGGTGTATCGAATTCGCTTGGGGCAAACTCTCTCGCAATTCTATTCTCGCTAGGATTGCCTTGGTTCATCCGCAACATGATGGAAGGAGGAGCTACTACTGGAGCCTACATTGAGATCAATTCCTATGGAATGCAGTATTCAGTGTTGGCCCTGTTTCTTGCGATAGGCATTCTTTACTTGGTGTTGTATCTGGCAAAGTATACCCTTCGAAAGTTGGTTGGATTAGCTTTAGCGATAGCCTACCTGGTGATTGTTACCTTTATGATTCTAGTCGAGTTAGATGTATTTTTTCCTTCGAAAAATATATGTTAAATATTTATTGTTGCTATATGGAATAAAAGAGATGTTTTGTGATAAATACTCTTGTTTTCAAACTTCATAAATTTGTTTCGATCCATCTCCAGGAACGTTCTCTTACGTTGTTTTAATATCCAATTCTGGTGATTTTGACGATGGTGCGGTTACTCGTGGACATGAAACAATCAGCTGCAGATGAGGAATTCGTAAGTTTGATTTGAGTGGCTGAAGAAGAGGATTCTCGAGGTGAGCAACGTAATCGTAAAGCACTGGTGTTATTCAAGAATTTCGACATGGAGAATACCGGAATGTCATCAGCAAATCGCTGTAGGAAGGGCCAAAAACGAATGAATGGATTGATAGGCAATGGATCAATAAGTTGAAGATGCTAATTTCAAATAACAGACTGTAGTGGTAATTTTTATACGATAGATGGAGTAGATGAAAGCATAGAGTTGATAGTTCCGTTAGAGTACGGCAGTGTGAAGATTGTATATAGATATTAGACAAGCGAACTAGGACAACTTTTAAGGAAGGTACAAATCGGTTTTTTCATCTCTCTTTACCAAACTCCCCCTTTGGAGAGGGATGGTGAGGGGTGTCTCCCCCCGCCACCACTGGCAAAAAGAGATGAAAACCGACCCGCTCAAGTACCAACTGTGTGTTTGAAACAGTTCTACCGATTTTTTACCGCACTTCAGTTGTTATTTGAAGGAAGGCATCCAGTCGTAGGTTTGGAAATTGCAACAAATGGATCAATGAAAATGCTGAGTTTTTGACAGAACTACCGTGCGGGACCGAAATCCGTACACCTAAGCAAGAGAGAATCATTAACGGTCAATACTAAATAATACTATCACATTATGCTCTGTACCACATCTTTTTCCTTTACACTTATTATTTATATTTTTCCAATATTTGCAAACACCAGGTCTGAAAATTACTTGTAATTATTAGAAAAAGAGATTTAAATTGCACATATCTTGAATCAAAATCCGTACAGCGTTCTACGATTGAATCAAAATCCGTACAGTTTTGAATCGAAATCCGTACACTGTGTTGAGGATGAATCATAATCCGTACAGTCATGAATCAAAATCCGTACATGAATGTAAATCGATCCAAATCAATGAAAAAAAAAACATGTTGCTATCTTGAATAAAGTATTTTTTTTTGTAGTTGCTTGGTTAAGAGTCCAAAACAGCTATATCCGTTTAAATACACTAGTTTACAGCATATTTGAACTTTGTACGCTGATGGTCATTTCCCATGTAAAATCATGCGCTGAATCCAAAAATGTAGTCCAAAAAAATCTCAGTAGGATTGTTTTGGGTAAGAGAGGCATAGTGAACAGGTGGGGCATAGTGAGCATCGCGTACTCCAGCTTGGACTTCCGGCCGTTCAGAACAAATTTGTTGGCTGTAGGATCAATATCATCATGATATTGATCCTACTACCAGTTGATTTGTTTCATGCAGTTGGAGATCCAGAGCCAAAGTGCGGGATGCTCACTATGCCCTGCCTGTTCACTATGCCCCTCCTTTCCCTAGCTAAAAAATGAATTCTCACTTTAAAAAAAAAACTAAAACACAAATATCTCTGGCTGCAATGAAGTGATATTAATTATTTTAACGCCAAATTAAACGTGATAAAATTTTATTTTGATCTTTATAACACTATTTTTCCGTGAGAGTAATGGTAGAACCACCATAAACATTTTAATTTACATTGCTTAAAAACTTAGCAGAAATTCAATTTTTCCTAGGAAAACTTAAAAAACAAACTATTAACTAACAACAATACCATCAATCTCACTGACAATTGATGTTCAATTGATCGAACGAAAAAATTTCGTACCTCTAATTTAGCGTTAAAATAATTGATATTATCTCATTACAACTGGAGATATTTTTATTATAGTAATCAAACTTGTTTAAAGTGAATTTTTATTTTTAGCTGTATCTCGAAAACTATCCTACTGACATTTTTTTTGACTACATTTTTGAATACAGCGCACGATTTTACATAAGAATCATTCGTCAAAGGTTCATTTTTTTTACTTTTAATTTTTTTAACTAATGATATCAGCGTTTGATTAATTGATGCTCCAATCGATTCAAAGGAGAGGTAACTGATTTCTTTTTATTTAAGAAGGTGAATGTTCTGGATTTTTATGCTAACTAATATCATGTTTAAGGATTCATTTCCTCCAAATTTTATTCTATACCAGTGCTTTGGGTTAAATATTCTTACTGGAGTTTTCCTCCGATCACAACTTCGAGGTTTTGACATGTGATAACGTGCAAGATGTGCCATACTTTGGAGCTTGGGGTACTCCAGATCAACGCTACAAAACATTATTAACCGGGACTAAACTGGGCGGTGTAGCCTGGACAATGTTGTCGAATCAATAATAGCAAACTGAACAGAAGACTGCCGAAACATCTTTAATACAACGATAATGGAAACGCTCCACCAACCCATGGCATCAAGCGATAATCTAACCGGTTCCTAAGATGGTAGCCCTATAATGGCGGATAGTAAAAAAAATACAACCATCTTAGAAACCAACAAAAAAAGACAATGAACTGACATCAAGGATTAGTTTTTCGTTTTGTGCATGAAAATTAAAATAGGTAAAATAACGACCATAACTTAATTTAATTTAATACGTCAAGAGACTAATAATCTTAAAAATGCAGATCTTTCATTGCTTCTTTTCCACAGCTTTCTTCTGCTTCTTCTCCATTGTTACCATTGCCTTTTCAAGTTATAATGCTTTCTTGCTTCCAACCCTAATAAAAATAACCATAATAGAGAGCTTAACGACGTGTTCGGGTCATCATCGAAACCATTTGTGGGATAGTTCCCCAAATAACAATTTTCACAATGTAAACGCTTTACTCATTTCATTTATACAGCCTCAAGCTGTATTCAAACGTTATACGATATGAGGAAACCTTTACTCAACCTCTATATACAAGCAAATCTGGCGAACTTAGTCAGCTACTTATGGCTGTTGGAACGGTCGGGAGAAGCTCTTATTGCATATCCATTATTAACGCTTCTATACAGCTGTTATCCTGCTGTTTAGTTGTGTGTGAACTTGAAAGGCGCTTAATTCAACCTTTTCCCGGTTATCCAATAATCACTACACAGCTTTCTCTTGAAGCCGGGTTAAATACTGTTTACGCTTTTTTATGAAGGAATTTATTTAGCTTATTTTGCTGTGAATCAAATTAATCGAAATTATTATTAACCCTGCACCGGAACCTGGAATCGACTCGAGACGACCTCATTGGCAAACCTTGACACTACCAACTGTGCTACGCCAACACTTTGAACTTATGTAAACAAATCAACATTCCCTTCTACAACAAAATCGCTGAGTAGAGGCTTTTTAATAGTGCACACGAATCACTTTTCTCGACTAGTTATAAAAGAGCAGAGTAAAAGCTGTAAAACTGCACACGTCTAAAAATAAACCTAGTTGACTGTGAAAATGCTTCCGAAGTTGCTCTAACACAGTTTATAAGCTGAGTACAGGTTGTTTAGTTGTTGAAAAAGCACTTTTGATGTTTATGTTATTCAGAAAGAGTGGTTGGTTGTTTAGAAGCCATCAAATGAGTAATATATTCACTTTGTTAGCTTTGTTTTGCAGCTACAAGTTGAAAGTTGATTAGTGTGTGTATAGAAGTGACATTAGCGTTTATTGGCTGATGTTATTCAGTGCGACTGACAAATTATATAATGGTTGTGAGATAGTTGAGTAAACGCTCTCCAAAACTATTTTGCTAGCTTTTGCTTGTAGCTGTATCTGCTGCTTCTTTTCAGCTACTTTTCAGCACAACGCTGGAAAAGTTGGCTTACAAAGCTGAAAATGTTAGTTGGGTCGTTCATGGTATTTATTTATTAGGGAACTTTCTTTCCTCTTCTTCCTTTTCTTCCTTCTTTTCCTCTCTCGCTCAACCTTTTTTCTTTTGTCGTTCCTCAATCCTTTGTTTCTTTGCGTTCTCTTTATCAATTTTCGCCCGCACTACTTTCATGTGTATTTCCGGTCACTTCTCGCTGGTAGCTACTGCTGGGAATGCTCTCTGGCCCATTTCTGTCTGCTCTCTGTAAGGGAGCATCCAACAATGAAGTAGCAAATTTTTGATCAATTTTATACTCCTCCCCCACCCCCTCGTAGTGAGTTTGGCTATATCCAATACATGGCCGGTCACAAATTCTGAAACCCTCACCTCCCCCCTCAAATGCTACGTCATTTATGCATGGTCCCTAATTTGAATATGCGTGTTGGTGATATCCTGTAGGGGAGCTGCGTTGTTTTACTTTTCGACTGGTTCTTGACGCTCTTCATTAAAAGATATTAATAATATAACATTTACAATACGAATACAATAAGAGAGTAACGATTCAATACGGCATCTCTTATGGTGGTGAATAGAACGGCAAAATCCCTGGATGCTTCTCGGTAAGATTTCTCCGCCGCATCATTGCCACAGTCTTCTCCAAATCCTCCGGCGTGTATTTAGTTTCCATGATCTGCTGAAAAACATTGGATAAAGTAGAATCGTCATTAGTGATGCACAAGTGTACGGATTTAGAATCACCTGTTATATATGGATCGAAATCCGTACAGTACTAATTTTGATAAATAAATACCATATGAATGATCCATTGCTTAGAATTGAGATATAAAACGATAAACACTAATCATTCCGATCGACCTTCAGGAAACTACTTGCAAACATCACTGAAATACGCTTAACAAACTGAAGTAAATCCGAGAGATTTTCTTAGAAAATCGTTAAGAACGCAACCGATTGACAGAAATGCCCGACACGTGTTGAGGTTTTTATTTTTCTTATTTTAATTGCATGACATTCTGCTTAATTGTTGACGTAAACATCAAGCTAATGCATGAATGAACATGAATATGTATTCATGTATAATATTTACATTGTTATGATGCATATAAATAATCAAATTCAACAGGGTGTACGGATTTCGGTGCTGTACGGATT